TTAAAAAAATTGTTTTTCTCAAGGTTATCAGTGGACTCCTACCTGTTAAATCCTCTGATCCCTTCTCATCCCTCAACTTAACTGATTTACCAGGGGCATCTGACACAGCTGCTGATGCCTCTCCCCTTCTAGAAATACTCCCTCTTGGCTTCCAGGCTACTGCATTCACCTAGTTTTCCTCCTCCTTTTTCATTGCTTCTTTTCAATCTTTTCTGTTAGTTCTACCTCAGCTCCGTTCCCTTTAAATAGCTGCTGGAGTGCTTCAGGGCTCATTACCTGGACCCCTCTTGTCTCTCTGCATTTACTCCTAAATTCTTGTGGCTCTACATACTATCTATATGCCAATGACTCCCAAATTTATTTTAGCATGAACTTTTCTCCTAAATTCCACACTTCAAACTGCCTACTTGACATCTCTGTCTGGATGTTTGATAGGCATCTAGAATTGTTTATAAGCATGTGCAAGGCTAATAAGCTCCTGATGCCCACATCCCCTTCCCCAAACTAGTTCCTCCAGCAGTCTTCCCCATCCCAGTTAATGGCAACTCCATTCTTGTGGCAAGCCAAAAATCTTGGTGTCAACCTAGACTCCTTTCTTTCATATGGTATAGTTTAACCTTTAAAATACAGTATCATATGACACACTACTACACTTAACAATATAAAAAGGAAAAAACTACCAATACATGTAACAACATGGATGAATATTAAAAATATTATCCTGAGCTAAAATAAAGCCAGACAAAAGAGGATACATAATGTATGATTCCATTTACGTGAAACTCTCCAGAAGAAAAATCTATAGTGATAGAAAGTCAATCAGTGGTTGCTTGGGGCCAGCGGCTGGGAGTAGAGACTGAAAGAAGAAAGGAATCTTTTGGGTGATAGAAGTGTTCAATACCGGGGCGCCTGGGTGGTTCAGTCGGTTAAGCGACTGCCTTCGGCTCAGGTCATGATCCTGGAGTCCCGGGATCGAGTCCGCATCGGGCTCCCTGCTCGGCGGGGAGTCTGCTTCTCCCTCTGACCCTCCTCCCTCTCATGCTCTCTGTCTCTCATTCTCTCTCTCTCAAATAAATAAATAAAATCTAAAAAAAAAAAAAAAAAAAAGTGTTCAATACCTTGACTGTGGTAGCAGTTATGACTAAATAAACTTGTCAATACTCATTGAACTTTACAATATGTACATTTTATTGTATATTAATTATACCTCAATAAAGTTGATTAAACATACATATGTAATTTAACCATTTCTCACTGCCTCCCTATCCCCACCGCTACCCTGTGGGAGCCACCATCACCTCTCTTCTGAATTACAATAGCCTAACTAGTTTCCCTGCTTCTGTCCCTGCCTCCTGCATTTTATTCTCAACAGAGTGGCCAGAGTGATACTGTTAAAAAATCACATCACGTCACTCCTCTGCTCAAAACCCTCTAATGGCTTCTCTTCTCCATAATAAAATTCAACATTCTTTCTATGGCAGTCAAGGTCACATGATCAACTTCTCTGTTACCTCGTATACCTCATTTCCCACTACCCTTCCCCATGATTATTTGCATTCCAACTAGAACTGGCCTCCCTGCTGTTCTTCAAATATGGCAGGCACACTCTTTTGCACTTACTGTTCCCTCTGCCTAGTAATGATGTACCACCATCCCCAACAAAGCCTTAAAACTTGTTCCCTCACTTCCTTCAGGTCTTTCACCAAAGGGCATCATCCCAATGAGTCTTTCCCTGGCCACTTTCAAATTTCAACACCTCCCTCCACCTATACACAACCTCACTTCTATTTCATTTTCTCCTTTCCTACTTTACTTTTTTCTCCCCAGGATTTAGCACTCTCTTATTTATATTTTACTAGCATATACATACACACACACACTAAGTATAAGTAACTTTTTATTTTATTGGCTTTCTCCTCTACCAGAATGAATGACCCAAGAGGGCAAAGAATTTTATCTGTTTTGTTCACTACTGTATCCCCAGAACTTAAAATAATGTCTAAAATGGATGTTGAATAAATGAATGTATCTCAACAAATTCTAGCTTTCCCTTTAATAGTTGATAGTAAGTAGAATTAGCTTTAGAGATACGTCAATTGATACTTTATTTGCTTTAAAAAAATTCTGATAAATTAAATAAAAACTTCAACACATTTAAGCATATGCTAATATGTATCAGCCAAACTTGTTCTCAATTCTAATCAAGAACTAAGATCTATCAGACATTGAGAGCTTTTTATCAAATTTTCAGAGATTTTCTTATGAGTAAGGGCCTATGTGAAATAACTCTCATTATTGCCAAGAATATATAGAATATAGTGTCCTGGTGAGTTCTTTACAAAAACCAGATAATGTCATGTTGCCTGAAGCTCCCCTTACTATAATAGTAGAAAATAATCAATCTGACAGTCTCAGAACTAAGAAATCATTTTAGGGCGCCTGGGTGGCTCAGTTGGTTAAGCGACTACCTTCGGCTCAGGTCATGATCCTGGAGTCCCTGGACTGAGTCCCGCATCGGGCTCCCTGCTCGGCAGGGAGTCTGCTTCTCCCTCTGACCCTTCCCCCTCTCATGTGCTCTCTCTCTCTCAAATAAATAAATAAAAAAAAAAAGAAAGAAATCATTTTAAAAATACATTTAAAGTCTTAGTAACACTTGTCATTTAAATCATTAAAGGAATTAAAGGAATTGCTTGTTTTACAAGGAAGCCACATAAATATGAGACTATTTAACATAAATAATCTAAAAGTAAATCAGAAGGTACAGGTGCCCTTGCTCTAGAGGTCTGAGTCTCCTCTCTTTTAAACAGGCAAATAATACAGCTTCTGGAAGTCCAAAGGAGTTATCTCCTTAATAACTGCAGAGGAGAGAATTCCATACTGCAGCCTTCACCTGCATCCAGCAGCTATTACTTGAAACACATTAAAGTATTCATCTTTAATCAAGTAAAGAGTTTCAGTGCGGGGGTGTTATCTGCTTTAGTTTATAAGCAGCATTATATATTCAACCTAAAAATAAAGGCCCTGTGCTTTCATAATATTTAAAATGTTTTATAAAGTTAAATGCGGTGGAAAATTTCAGGAAAGCATCATTAATTAAGCAGCTCTGAATAAAGAGTATGACCAAACACCATAAATATTTTAAGGATGCTTTTTCCTAAAAGCATTAGAGATATCACAATTGAGTTATACTGGTTTGTCTCTATCATATTTAAGCTGCATCTTTCATTTCTATGTGTCAATTTCTTAAGACAATGAAGAAAAATAACTTCAGTATACTATCCTAGCAATGGAAGGACAATAGCTGTCGCAACATCTCATATAACATACCTGGTCACTGTTAGACTTCATAATCAAAACATTTTTAAGCTATCAACTTATTTAATATTTATTTACCCTGGTATACCTAGCATCTATCACAGTGCATTGTCACTTGTAGTTCAGAGAAACTACTAACATCTCCAAAGCTTCTCATTTCTAAGTTTCTTGGACTGCTTTAATGTAAAATAGAGGTTACTCTGGATAGGCAAAATAACAAAAACATTATAAACACTCCTAGTAGATGAGAGATACATTAGGATGGTATCATTAAAATCGCTTTTATTTGCTGGTTTAGAGTTTTCAAAGCAAGATGAAATGAGAATGATCATACAGTATCTTACCCTTTCTACCGGTGAACCATAACATGCAATGTCGAAACATAGCAGTGGCAGATGGCATTGGTGTTATTAACTATAAAAAGGATAATAGCAGAGAAATGACGGCTGGCAGACAAGACACAGAAATGCAGATGAAATGAATGCAAACTTGCAGTTCTTGAAGCAAAGCAAAACCTTTAAGCCAAAGGTTGCCACTAGCTTCAATTTAATTTACATTTTGAGTTTTACACCGACAAACACTGCAACCTTCACAGTCTTTAGACTCTTCATGCAGAGGCAGAACCATACTCCTCGATAAAGAAGATCAGCAACCTTCTGTAAACACAAGCCAGCAGCAGCAGCAGCCCATCACTCTCTCCCTTCACTGATTTTTATCCCTTATATTTTTAATCTCCAATTGCAGCCAGATCCACAGTCGCCTCAAACAGATCTGTATCCACTGCAGATACAAATCCCTGTCTAACCTGCAGTACCACTTCATCCAGAACGTTCCTGTGCACTCATTCATGCAGAATCAGTTGCAAAACCATTCAAGGCATCCAGCAAACACCCAAAAGAGGAGGAAAGAAGCAGTTGGGACTGTGAAGAGAAATCTCTTCTTTTAGCTCACCCTGGAAATGGAAGGTTTTCTGATCAACAGTTATTGTGAAGGTGCTGTCGTCCTCATCGTCTATACCAATCACAGCTCCCTGTGAAACAAAGAGCAAAATCCCAATAAGGCAAACAATGACATCAGCAATATTCATTACTGCTACAGCCCTGGAATGCTCAATGCACCGGGGACACTGGCAGTAGGCTCGACACAGAAAAGGGGATGGCAGGGCACTGTAGTACTCTGCGTGGCTACCTTTTATTCTTGCATAAGGGGCAAGGTTGCCGTGAGAGGGGGAGGGGACAAACACAGAAGCTGAGTCTAGAAGCTATGTTCAAGAGTCAGCCACTGGGTTTTTCTGAGCTTTGGACTACTCTCTAAAATGGGAAGCCAGAAACCTCCACCACACCCGGTTGTTGTGAGGCCAAAGAATGCAGGTCCTCTTCATCAGACTGCTTCTGTGTTACACTTGTTAGTGCAGAAATGTCAGGTGACACTTGCTTCAAAACACGGTCCCAATCACTTCTTCCAAGTGTGCTCCCATAACCACTCGCACATGGCTCTGCAACTGCACTTTCCACTTTTTGCTGTGATTATCTGTTTATATGTCTGCCTCCTCCCCTGAACTGCCATGAGATCTTGGAAGTCAAAGACAGTATTATTTATTGATACATGACCTTCAAGTACACACCCAGTATGTGTTTTTTAAGTAAAAGCACGAACAACCCCCCAAAAGATGGAGGAGGGGATTGCATTTATAAGTTGTTTGTTTCAAGAAGGTGGATAGGGTGGGTTTTAAACTTTTAATTTTTTATATTCAACTACAAGCAGCCCATTAAGACAACAGGAATTTATGCAAAATAAGGAGTGTATTGGTTAGTGTCCTTAAGAAATAAGCACCTAAAGTATTTCAGAGAAAAAAGCTAGAGAACATGAGACAGGTAAAATGCCCCAGGATGGTGACAAAAGCAACAGCATGCCAGGACCTTGAAAATGGGGGCTGAAAAGAATCAAGGGGTCAAAATACCTAATCCCATGAATAAGGCTACTCCTATCCTAAGAGAAGTGGGTCACAGAGCCAAACATTTATTAATCTCTTCTTCTGAGAAGAAGGCTGTCTGGATAAACCCCAACTCTATCCAAATCCCATCAACTTGAATTATCTTAGTTATTCCTCAGTTTCAGTTTGGGTTGGGATTTTTATCCTTATTTTCACTTAAGTGTCTCCTGAGAGTAAAATGATTTACCCAAGGTCACATGATTAATGTCAGAACCAGAACCACTGGCATGGTACCTACTTATTCCATGACAGCAAACATAAACACATCTCAGTGGGTAAGCATGTATGGGAGCAGATCATTCTGGTTAACTTAATTTTGTGGTTACTCAGTTAACTTCTAACTTATGATGTATCAAATATTTCCTAAGTTACAACTGAATACAAAAATATGTGCTTGATACAGCTCTAGAATATGTAACAATAGTCCCTGCCCTCAAGGCACTAATATTGCAGAGGAGGAGATAAAACATGCAAAGAGGTGAGCGTAATACAAGGTAGAAAGTAATCTCTACATGGACGAACTTTGAAAACATTATGCTAAGTGAAAGAAGCTAGTCACAAAGGACCATATAATTCCATTTATATAAAATGTCCAATAGGCAAATTCATAGAGACTAACAGTACATTAATGGTTGCCTAGGGTTGGGGGGAGGGGAAGAGGTGGGGTAACAAAGGGAGCAACTGCTAATGGGTATGGGTTTATGAAAACATTCTAAAATTGATTGTGGGAATGGTTGCACAACTCTGTGAATATACTAAAAGCACTGAATTGTATACTTTAAATGGGTGAATTGCATTGTATGTGAATTATATCTCAATAAAGCTGTTATAAATCACCCCACTACCAAATGTTTGCTCTTTCTTTTGGGTCTCTTAGTGTGAATTTATCAGTTACTTAGTCAACTCAGATGGAAACCTCTAGGTTCTACACCTGTTCTCCTTCATTCCATCACCACAGGTTGTGTTCATTCCACCTCTGAACTATCAAATATTATTATTCCATCCCATGAACTGCCAATGCCCTAATTCAGCCTCTCATCACTACATGCTTAATAGGCAATCTGTCTCCTTTCAGTCTGGCTACCTTTTACTCCAGTCTTTGCTATTGCCAGAGTAGTATTTCTGAAGCACAGACTCTTACAGGAGACAAAGATATTTAAAACCTTCCTTGGACTAATAGATAAAGTCAACATTTCTTCATAATGCCATTCAAGACTATTCAAAATCTGGCCCAACCAACCTTTTCACAGTCATCAAATGGTCCCTTCCTCCTTAACACACAGAGGCCCTGTATGTACTCATCCCCAACATTTCTTCCACACTCCAAGGGCAAAAACCAAACACACCAAGTAATTGCACTTTTTTAATGTCCTTCCTCAAGCTCAATTCCCAACCATTTGTTAAACAAAAGCAAAACCCCATATCTCCCCCTAGCTACCACCTCCTTTCTCACTGCTTTCACAGAGGAGCTTTTTGGAAATTGTACACGCCTTAACTTTTCATCCACTCCTGCAATCTAGCTTCTTTCCCACCACTATACCAAACTACACTCTCACAGATCTCCAATGACTGCTTTAGTAGTCTCCAGTTTGTTTTTTTCTTTAAGATTTTATTTATTTATTTGACAGAGAGATAGCGAAAGCAGGAACACAAACAGGAGGAGTGGGAGAGGGAGAAACAGGCTTCCTATGGAGCAGGGAGCCCAATGTGGGGTTCGATCCCAGGACCCTGGGATCAGGACCTGAGCCGAAGGCAGACGCTTAACGACTGAGCCATCCAGACAAAACTAGTAGTCTCCAGTTTTGTCATACACCACCAGTCTAAAGCACTGTTGCTGCTGCTGACCATTTGTTTCTTGAAACTCTCCTTCAATGGCCCTTAATTACCTAAGCTGTGCTTCAGAAATATTTCTAACTAAGTACCTGTGACAACCTATACGGGAGAAAGCATTCTTTTCTTGCCCATTACACTTTACCCTTCCTCTGTCCAAATGCTTCTTTGAAAACTCTAGAAGCTAGCTAACAACCTCCTAGTCCCATCAGGTCTTGCTATTACCCTGAAAGTTCACCCACATCTATAACCACTGTTGCTTCCTTTTCACTTGTCATATGGAAAAGATCTCCATACCCTATCACCTTTCCTTAGGTCTCTCACTCTACTAATTGTCAACTTCTTTGACTACTGGCTCTTTCCCAATAGCATTTACAGATGTTCAAATTCTTTACCCTGTTTAACCAACAACAATCATTTTCAATTACACATCTTCATCTGGCAATTAGCCCACCTCTCTCATTCCCTTCCAGTCAAGATTATCTAGATTTGCCCAAGCCTCCTGCCTAAAATTTTTTTAACCTCCCGTTCCTTGTAGGGTATGTGACCATATCAATGGCTCTTCTTCACCTTCAAATAAGGTGACCATATGACCTGATTTACCTGGAACAGTTCAATTATTCCTGTTGTCCTGGCATAATAATTAACAGAATGTCCTGGTTAGGGGTTACAGTCACTCTACCACAGCCTAGCCTACAATGTCCTCAGTGATTTGCTCCATGCCTACCTCTCATCTCTTATCAAATTCTACAGTTGGACAGCTTGAGGTTTACCAATTGCCCCAGGTTCTCTCCCACCAAACATCCATCCTCTCCCTTTATCTGAGTTTATACTACTTATGTTCTTACATTTGGTAAAGTAAAACTCCTTTTACTAATCCACATATAGAATAATATTCTATTGTTAAGCAAAGTTCTTTACTATGCTAGTCCATCAGAATGCCAAAGTTTTTATTTCAATCCCGCTTTTAAGACCCACTATACCAACATAATAAACATATATATTTTTCAGTGACTTTTCATGATTTTGCTTCTGAAGACATGAGAGGATCAACCTTTCAGGTTATCAGTACTTGGGCTAACCAAGGTACGTGCTGCTTCAGGGTCACACTATCCAAGTTCCAGATAGAAGGTAACTGGAGCTGGAGTCTAGTGCAACCAGATGAATTTCCTGACTTTCCTTCTTCTCCTGTCCTCTGTACACACACATATTTCAGACATGAGTCATAGTTCTGGTACCAAAGAAAGTTTTGTTCTCATGGCTTAGGGGAAAAAAAAAAACCCACAAAACAGAGTTCTGGCTATTTTAGGGCCAACCTCCCTTTGCAAGAAGAGAAACTGGGTTGGTAAACTGGCTCCAAAGATAATAAAAAAGAAATGATGACTCCTCTGGGACACAGATTTGCTCACATAACTCCTAAAAGGAATGTAGACAGTGCTAAGAATACACAGCTTAGCTACTCCCACAGTAACTTCACAACCACATACTTTCTCTCCCTGCTGAAATGTTAGAAATCTCTTACATTCATATAACACATTTAAATCTGACATTGGAGATTTAGGGAGAATGGGTATTTCTCTTAGAAAACTGAGGCTCAGGGGCGCCTGGGTGGCTCAGTCGGTTAAGCGGCTGCCTTCAGCTCAGGTCATGCCGAGTCCCGTATCGGGCTCTTTGCTCAGTGGGGAGCCTGCTTCTCCCTCTGCCTGCTGCTATGCCTACTTGTGCTCTTTCTCTCTCTGTCAAATAAAAATAATTAAAATCTTAAAAAAAAAAAAAAAAGAAAGAAAGAAAACAAAACAAAACTAAGGCTCAGAGAGGTTTAAAAAAAAAAAAAAAATGTTGGGCACCTGGGTGGCTCAGTCCTTAAGCGTCTGCCTTCGGCTCAGGTCATGATCCCAGGGTCCTGGGATTGAGTCCCGCATCGGGCTCCCTGCTCGGCGGGAAGCCTGCTTCTCCCTCTCCCACGCCCCCTGCTTGTGTTCCTGCTCTCGCTCTCTGTCAAATAAATAAATAAAATCTTTAAAAAAAAAAAAAATGCCCAGGGTCCTGCAACCCAAAAGGCAGGAGAATTGAGTTCTTGCAATTCCTGATCCAAAGCCCTCTCTTAACAGGGCATTGTTATAATAAGCAATATGCACTAATTACTTCAACACATTTATTAAATACCTATTCTGGGCCAGGAACATTAATAGCCAGGGAATATAAAT